TTTTATTTGCGGAATAATATTGGTGAATTGAATCATAGACTTTAAAATTACGTTATGTGTATGTACAAATGTACATGTGTTTTTAAGATCTATGATTGAATAAACAAAGATGCTTTAATTTGAGCAGGTATTAAAGGTCAAACTATCCATTAACCAATCATGTCAACATGAATTAAATTCTTAGTCTACCATACTGCTTACCTACCATACAAAGTCTGAAAACGGGGACTATTAATTTGGGTTCGTTCCGTCTGTACGTACTTTCGTCCGTACATACGTCAGGAGCTATATCTCGGACACCCATTGACGAATTTCATTCAAACTTTACATGAAGACAATACATAATGTCTTACATATGTCGTCAAGTTACTTTATAATCAGAGCAATAATGGTCGACTGGCGGCCATTTTGGATATAAAATTTGCTATTTCTGATACATCTACATGAACATTATTTTTGTAATTTGATTCAATATGACTGCCCAATGTCCAATTCTCATGTAAAAGCACTAAATCATAATTTTTTACAAATCCATCTCCTATTAATAGTTTTAATCTAATCTCAATGACTTCATCAGCATCAAATTGATATGTCAGATCACAATATTTTGGACGGGGACTGTGTCATTAACAATGACTTGTTTCCCTTTTTTTTCTGCAATTTTATTTCTGTTTGTAACAATTTGTACCCCTTTGGGGGAGGAGAGCTGTTTGTATAGGTTCGTCCCCGTCATCCCGCATCAACTTTGTGTTTTCAAACAACCGTTTTCTGAAAACAATTACTCTATTACTTCTATACTTGGTGCACATGATCATTGGGTGAACCTCTATGAGATTTGATCATTTCATGATGATATCTTCAATTCTCTATTTAAATGAATATTTTTGTAATTTTTGGTCAAAAATATTTTTTGTTCAACTTCTTAAAAACTTTGATTGGTTTGATACTTAGTACATGGTATATATGTACCTTGTATGGACCTCTTAGATTTCAACATTTAGTGGAGAAATTTTGATTTCTCTAATTTTAGTAAATGTTTTTTTCATTTTGATAAAAATGCTATTTTTGACTTTTCCTAAAAAATGCTACCCCAATTGCTTCGATACTTGGTGTATGTGTACCTCTGGTAGATTTGAATATTTTGTGACAGTATCTATAATTCTGTATTTTTGACTCCTGTCTTTGCAGTTAGTGTGTCTGTATGTGTGTGTGTGTGTGTATGTATGTGTGTCCGTCTGTTTCACTGATATCTCAAGTACCATACATCGGTTTTTGATGGTCTGTTACATTGTGCTGACCTCATTAGTTTTACATTCAAATCTGTTCATATACATTTCCTGATATGCATAATTAGTTTTCAGCTTTTCCATCAATATCTCAAGTACAAGTAATTTTGTATTAGTTTCCAATGCTCTCAGCACACAGGAGTACTTTCTAAGCTTTCGTTGATTAGTGAATATTTTTGACATTTTTGGTCTAAGATGCTATATAGATTTTTCCTGATAACTGCTGGTTTGATTGATTTGACACTTACTGGTACACTTACATGTACATTGGTTCGACCTCTATTAGATTAGATTTCACAGACATGTTGTATTTCAAAGTTGATGAACTCAAAACTTTGGTACCTAGTGCTATTAATCTTATTCTTATCTGTGATAAATTTAAGATCTGAACACTGGAGTGGAAATAGAATGTAGATTGGTCACTGATAGCATAGTGGTTGACGCATCAGACTCATGATCGGTAGACCCAAGTTCAAATCCTACTTTAGGCTGAACATCAAAAGGGTCGACCCCTACCCTGGGTGAGTGTGCCACAGACTCAATGGGAAAGCCAATTCCACTGGCCGAGATTCATTCACTAGACGAATGCGACTTTGGGGGAACCTTGGTTAAGGTCCTTGTTAAGGTGCTTGTGTTCGACCGAGCCTGGTTGACGCCAGGATAGCGCATTAAAATTGCTATTTGATAGGGAGATGGCCACACAGCCCTGTCATGTAGTCCCAAACAGGAAATGACTTCTGTGGCAAAATGTGTCAGCACTAGCACTTGCAATTTTCACAAAGCAAAAAAGTCAGGAGAGACAACAGTGACAATCAATGTCCGGAACTGTCGCCTGGCACAAAAACATTATTTAAAAAAAAACAGAAAAGAATGTAAACAAAGCCAAGGTTATTTAGTTGTCCAATATGATGTTTATGTAAAGTACATGTGTGCTTGCATTTATTATTGCAAGACAGTGAAATAGTGAAGCTATTTCAACCATGTGGTCAATATTGAAGACAATAATCATGAAGCTTTGACTGGAAACTGGGCACATCTGTGACATTGCACAGACCCTATTAGTTTTACATTCAAATATGTGCATATTAATTACCTGATTTGCATAATTAATCAGTTTTAAGCTTTTCCATCAATATCTCAAATATTTATCTTTTTTTTAAGAATTAATGATAACATTATAATGAAACTTGTTTCATTGATGCTTTGGATGTAATCCACATGATTAGTTTAATAATAAGAAGCATGCATATTGATTATCTAATTATTATTAGCCAACTTCTGGTATCTCAAAAAGTCAGATTGAAAATGAAATTGTGGTAGGTGCTCTGGAATAAATTAGTCTGCAAACCACAGATGTGAAATCTAATGTATTTTCTGTAAGTAAAAATAAACTTCAATAAAGTGGATCACATTGTTTTCATTTTGTACATCTCAAATAGCAGACAAATATTAATTGCCAAGATTCAGCACACAGGAGTTCTTTCTACGTTTTCTTTGCTTTCTATATATATCATAGTTAAAGTAATTTATAATATGAAAAACTGAATAATTTGAAGTGAAACAAAGAAGAAGAAAAAATCAGACATCAGATTTTCAATTATATTGGATATAGTAAATTTAAGTATTGACAAATTATAAAAATAAAGATGACCAACTTTTTAACTGGCTCGATGTGTTTGTTTCCAGATCTAGACAGACAAGAATACTGGATTATTTGCAACAGAGATTTGATATCAAACAAAAGACTGAGATAAAGTAAATGCAGAGTGTTCTGGATTCTCACTCACAATGGCATGGCATTCAGCCAGTGTGAAGTACTTCAAGGTACCAACCGCTGATCCTGATTCTGTCGCTTTTGATTTCCATTCACCAGTTTCCTTCAAATCAGCATTCAGTTACACCGATGATCGACACAAAGATATGTATTACCATAACGAAGAAAGTAAGTATTTTGCCAGGCTCGGTCTCAAGATTGAAGATATAACCACTCTTTGTGTCTTGGAATTGATGATGTTATCCTCAATTTGTGTCTCATAATTGGTGATGTAAGCACTCTTTGTGTCTCAGAATTGATGATGTGAGCACTTTTAGTGTCTTAGAATTTATGATGTAAGCTGAATTTGTGTCTCAAAATTGATGATGTAAGCACTCTTTGTGTTTCAGAATTGATGATATAAGCCCAATTTATGTCTCAGAATTGATGATGTAAGCACTCTTTGTGTCTCAGAATTGATGATGTAAGCACTTTTAGTGTCTTAGGATTAATGATGTAAGCTGAATTTGTGTCTCAAAATTGATGATGTAAGCACTCTTTGTGTTTCAGAATTGATGATATAAGCCCAATTTATGTCTCAGAATTGATGTAAGCACTCTTTGTGTCTCAGAATTGATGATGTAAGCACTTTTAGTGTCTTGGGATTGATGGTGTAAGCTCAATTTGTGTCTCAAAATTGATGATGTAAGCACTCTTTGTGTCTCGGAATTGATGATGTAAGCACTTTTAATGTCTTGGGATTGATGATGTAAGCTCAATTTGTGTCTCAAAATTAATGATGTAAGTTGTGTCCCGGAATTGATGATGTAAGCACTTTTAATGTCTTGGGATTGATGATGTAAGCTCAATTCGTGTCTCAAAATTAATGATGTAAGTTGTGTCCCGGAATTGATGATATAAGCCCAATTTATGTCTCAGAATTGATGATGTAAGCACTTTGAGTGTCTTTGGATTGATGATGTAAGCTCAATTTGTGTCTGAAAATTAATGATATAAACACTCTTTGTGTGTCAGGTATTGATCATTTGATATTTTATGACCCCCTTGTTGCTGCATTTTGAATGTTGTAGTTCTGTTTTACCATACTTTACCATGATGTAAACACCGTTTGTGTACAATTCAATTTCACTAATATAAACTTTCTTTTCTGTTTCTTTCAGTTTATAAACCACCTTTCATCATTCATTTGTGTTCCTGTATTGTGATGTCTTTCAGCTTTCTACTTGTAGTTCTGACTTTTCCTGTCTCAGCATGGATTTGCTTCAAGGTATGCTATGCAAATCACTTCATTTACATATGATAATGAGATTTATAATTCCATATAAGGATGTGCTTTAAGGTAAGCTATGTAAATCACTTCATTTACATATGATAATGAGATTTATAATTCCATATAAAGATGTGCTTCAAGGTAAGCTATGTAAATCACTTCATTTACATATGATAATGAGATTTATAATTCCATATAAAGATGTGCTTCAAGGTAAGCTATGTAAATCACTTCATTTACATATGATAATGAGATTTATAATTTCACATAAGGATGTGCTTCAAAGTAAGCTATGCAAATCACTTCATTTACATATGATAATGAGATTTATAATTCTATACAAGGATGTGCTTCAAGGTAAGCTATGCAAATTAATTTTTCACATGATAGTGAGCTTTAAACTACAAATATAAATACTGTAAAACCATTTTTTTTCATTGACATTTAATTTCAATATTTTGAGCATATATAACGAATTTAATAGTGAACTTAATTTAGCTGATTTTACTTATGGGCGAAAATACAACATGTAGCAAAATTATTACCCAGTGAATAATTAATGTATTTACAGTATTTTACATATCTTAATGAGATTAATAATTTCATAGATGTATGTAAAAATCTATGAATTACATATGTTGAATATTTTGTCTAGTAAAGTAAGACAACTTAAATACTCAATTGCATACAAATGTAAACAACTCCTTCATATTTTGATTATGGCCTTAACCCAACAGAATGGCATATTTTTTCCTGCCCAAATGTTAATAGACCATTTTCTGTTCACTGCGAGAATCACGCGTTATGCGTGAAATCAAACGTAAAAACAAGACAAACAAAGGTCATAGCGTCGTAGTGGTGTCAAACGTCGCGTGGGATTTGACAAACGCGAAAATATTTTGGGGGGCATTTCCATGCTTAATAATGTGCTGTACAAATTCGATGATAGACAATTTCGATTAAGTGAGGGTATTCAAAAGCAATATTCCTCTGTCAAAGATCGGCCAGTCGATATGAGCTACAATTAAATAAAGAAATTCAAGTTCAAAATCAAATCGTTCGATTTTTACGGCAGACGTTCGATGCGCGTCTTTCATGCATCTCGTGAGATCTCACAATTGAACGGAAAATGACCTATGCAGTAGAATTCAAAACTGCAATACATGACAAGATTTATTTTAATGTAGACAATAATAAAACTTTCTTGCCCAAATTTTTTTGCACTTTTTTCTTAATTTCTTCAATATTTCTGGAAATGTACCTTAATTTTGGAGCCAACAGACAAAATTTGAGTCAATTTTCAGATTCAAATCAAAAAGATTTTTGTCCCAATCTTCTGAAGGAAACTGCAGACTTTAAACAGAACTATTTTGTGATGAAGAGAGGGAACTTGTGGTGAAAAGGTCAAGTTGATAACAGTGAATTTGTCACATATTTTTTCGTTTTTTTTTTAACTGTCACTTTAGAATATCCTGAAAAATTTGGTCATTTCACGTCAATCACCCTCAGAAAATAAAAGAAAGTCTACATGTATGTTACATGATGATTAGTATATTTTAATTTGCAATATGAATTTTGAAAACATTGTGATATCTGATAATGTTATGTTTTCCCTGTTTGTCTAGTAGCATGTCTAAACAAGTTTGTAACTACAAAAAAGATTTCATAGTAAATGCAATGCCTGGTCATAACTTTCAGATTTGTTTCTTGGTACAATTAAGTTACTCAATACAACTTCAATACGTCTTTCTACAGAGTTCCATGTGTGCCATTCAAACGACATTCTGACCAAAACATGTCAGCATCTCATCTTTGATAAATGACAATAATTAATATCTTGTTGTTTTTAACCACTAATAATTATTCAGAAAATTATAAATTACAAATGATGGTTTAAGTGCTTTGAAATTAGTGACTGAACCTGTATTTGTTCACATTTGTTTTGTTTTGATTGGAAGAATATTGTGTATACATTGAAAAGTAAAACATAGCGGAATATAGACGCCCTGCATAGTGCTGGATTAGCATCTGTACCTCTGAAATGAGGATTGTGTTAGTGAAATTTTATTTCTTTTGAAATATTAGAAACACTATAGAATAGAATAGAATATTGCTGTATTACAACGTTAAAGAAAATTTGACAATTCTTTTTTGGTTTCTACACATGTAGAAGGTATTAAAGTTAAAAACAAACAAAACAAAAAGTGTGACAAACAAGAAAAAGTAAACTACTGTGGTAATATTATTTGCTCTCTTATCATATACGCTGTTTTGATATATTTAATTAACCCCAGTAATTGTTGTCTAGTATGGGCATTCATAATACATATAAATTTGTCCTTGTTTTTGATACCATAGATGTTATCAAACAAGGAATATAATTCCTGTCTTTCAGATTCATAAAGTGCACATTCTGTGATAAAGTGCATTTCATCCTCTATGACTTGGCACTTGATGCATTTTCTGTCCTCAATATTTGTTTTTGGTTGTGTATGTCTACCTGTTTCTATATGTAATTTGTGGCTGCTCAGTCTGAATTTGCTTAGAATTCTGATTGCCTGTCTATCATTAAGCTGATCTATGTATACTTCTTGTTTTATATCATTTTTGAAAAGCTGATATGTTCTGAGTTTTGAATCAGCTCTTTGCATGTCCTTTTTCCATGTGGCTTTACAAATATATACCTACAGTTTTGGTAAAAGTTGAGTAAATTGCACAAGGCTGTTAACCCCAGATTTAGCAATCGGTTACATTGCCAGTTCACATTGCTGAACGAATGTTAATTCACATAAATACAAAATATGTATTGTACAATCTTTTTTTTTGCTCATGAATAACTTAATGCATACCACTTGAAATTGAAATGATCCTTCTAATGCCTGTATTTTCCCGATTGATGTTGTGTGTATGGAGCCCTCTCTTAGCTCCCTCCCTTTTCAGTACTGCATGGTAGTTAAAAACGGAATCTCTTATAGGCTCAGCCAAGGTGCATGGTTTAGTTTGCAATAGTGTGGTGCAAGTTATGTTATACGTGTAGTTAAGCTAAGATAATGCCAGTTTCCAAAATATGCATAATTTTAAACTGACCACACTTCTATTCAATTTCTACAATGGGCCATTCCAGTTTATATCTGCACCCCCCCCTTAAAGAGCATGTGTGTTTACTTCATACAGGGTATAATTTTCATGGGTGTATAAGTCATACAAAGTTTTATTTCCAAATCACCATTCACCATACAGTAATGGAAATCCGACCTCATCAACAGGGCGGGGGGGGGGGGGG